GTGATGACTAGCTGCCTTCCCTCTAGTCCTACAACAGACTAATGGATGGCTTGACAAATTTATTGTTTGTGAGGTTGCGATTTGACAACTAGTTGATGAATGTTTGAATCACACATCAGTGGCCAGACAGATCATTGAAATGATGAAAATATAAATAGATATGTATGTTTGTTTGTTTGTTTTTTTAATTATGGCACAAAGCTACACAATGGGCTATCTGTGCTCTGCCCACCACGAGTATCGAAACCCGGATTCTAGCGTTGTAAGTCCGCAGACATACCGCTGTGCCACCGGGGGGCATGCGTTACGTTTGAAGTTTCGTTCGCTAGCCAGGAATTCTAAGATAGTCCTATACATCGGAAGGTTCATAATGCGACATTCATGATTCAAGCAGCATCAGATTTGTTTTCTCTTGTTAACAGATATCGTTTGACATTGTTTGCAGGGCCATAGTAAGGGTGAGGCACAAGACATCAGGACCCGACAATTTGGGGGACCCCAATGAAAAGAAAAGACATTTTTATGCATTATATGTCCTTATATTTAATGGGGGGAAAAAGGTGCTATTCTATTGCCCCAGGTCTCATCTTACCTAAATTCGCCCCCCTATTGTTTGAATAGTAATCAAACATTTAATGACACTCACTTGAAAAATTCAATCTTTTGATTTGTATAACGCTTCTTACGTTACAATTGTTGAATTAAAAAAACACCCACACCACCAAAACCTATAACAGTGAAGTATGTACATTTAGCAACTTAATTGCTTCAAGAAAGTATACTGATTTCGTAGCGTAAAAAATATTTGAGAAATGTTATGGTAGAATAAGTATGAAACATAAATATATTATCACTAATAAATTTACTATTGAAAAAGTAGCATTTCTCCCTCCGCTTTCCAAGGCATATTTTTAATCAATCAACAATATTGTTAAAACAGTTTTGACCGACACACTCTATCTCGTAGCCTTCTTGCTATAGTTGAAGGTCCGTATTTATTTTCTAATTTAATTATTGTGTTCTGTTTTGCTGTTTATTATTAGTATGTATAATTACACAAAATTTTATGTCAAAAACAAACTATGACTGTTAACCTGCTTGGAATAGCGGCTATCAAATAAAAGTTTGTTTTGCTTAAGTCAGCTGCAGTTCTTTTAATTGGCCGCAATAGGATGGTCTAGCAATGCAAGCTTACTTTATGTAGCTATACGAGTATCACACATAGGATCAAATACATGTACATAGACAACGTGCGTTTTTTATATTTAGGAAATTAAAATTTGATTACTGTTCTTTATAGCTTATTTTTAAATTACGTGTGAATGTTTTATTGCATTTATATGGATTACGTGTAGTGTAAACGGATCGTCAATCAAATATAAACTAGTAATTCTAGTGACATAATCAATGAATTATACAAACTAGTACTATCAAAGGTTCGAACTTTCCTTCTTTAATGTGTTTCGACCCTTCCTTAGAACCCTAGTTACCACTGATCAAAATAAAATTCATGAAGCGGCAAAGTGGCATCTCAATATATTTCCCATCATGCCTCAAATGAACAATATCTTCCTCAGCTTTGCATCATATTCTTCTAACTAGAATGTCTTGTATTAATTCAAGATCTGTACTCTGAACTAAAGAAATTTCATATGAAAAAAAAAAAAAGTTTTCAAATTATGCATTGCCTTCTTTTGTGCTAAACAATGTAATCTATCTGATGTATTCTTCAAGCTTTATTTTTTTTTTAAAACACAACAGCTAAAGATAAAAATCTCCAATTTTATTTGCATCACTGTAATATTTCAGAGATATAACTATTCAAAACTTAGGTGTCACAAAACAGAAAAATATATAAGGTTGGAATGATATTACATCACAAATCATGGAAAATTCACAAGGAGAGACAATCAAATAGAAATTATTAATTATTTTGTTTACATGCCTCCAGAAAACATAAACCAAAAATAATAATTTATTTAATGCAGGAAATAGTTTTCTACATTATAACAACACTACTACTAATACTATATATATATTATATATATCTACTGAAGATGATCTGACAGATTTTGCCAGTAACATTTTTAGTTTTCAATAGTTTTAGTTTGTTTAATACACATTGGCTGAGGACCACTCCATTGACCATTTGACAGGCAAATTCTTGTGTTTGGTCCTTTTATCTGGTAACCAAAATTGCAGGCGAGCTGACAAATTGACCCTTGAATTCTATTACAACGTTTAATGAAACGTGAATTATATGGCTTAGGGCACATTTCTGAAAAAAAAAAAATCATACATATACATTTAGTAATTGACATATTTTAAATATTACATACAGAGAAGAGTAAAGTGATTTCATATTTACTTCTTATTAAAATTAAAGTAAGCCACACTGGAGAAATATCAGACTGTATTTTCTAATTCAACTCTTTGAGATTATATATAAATAAATTAAAATATCAAAACTTAAGATTTTTTAATAAAAGTTGTTATTCTTTGTTAAGGTAATTTAAAGTAGCCATAACTGATTTCATTCATCAGAACTGTCCTATCTACACATTCCACCGTATTCAACATGTTTGTGTTGCCATGGGCAGTTATGCAAGTTGGTTTGTGAAAAAGTTAGACATCAAACTGTTGAAGGACCGATGATGTCTTACATTAAAAATGTCTTCATTTACACAAACATTTATTTTCTTGTTTTTTGTGTCTTTGGTCTGAAATTTATGACCCAAGGTAAATATAAAATTGGGAATTTAAAAACCTGCAAATAGTACAGAAACAAGACTAGAGATACTGGAGACATTATTTACTCAAATTACAAACTCCTATTTTGGCTCCATGCTGTTACCTAGAATTACATTTGGTGGAGTCAAAATAAAATAAAATGATTTATTTAACCTGATTGTCTTGTGGTATAACTCTTGCAAATACAAGGTAAATACAAGAAATAATTTAAATGAGTTGTGTTCAAACAATAATTGAAAATTGAAATTAAGCTTTGACTTGTGGATAAACAAAGAGGAATAAAATATGCATGATCAGTACGTATGGAAATTTCAAAACAGTAATGAGACTTCAACAGCATATTCTGACTCTTTTTTTGATAAGAAAAAAATTAGCTTTTCTCAAAGATCAGAATGAATCTAATCTGAAAGCATCAAAATTAAAAAATAAACTTATGTGGTTTGGTGTATACTATCTACATTCATATTGTCTTGTTTCCTTGGGTCTTATGTGGTTTGGCGTATACTATCTACACTCATATTGTCTTGTCACCTTGGGTCTTATGTGGTTTGGTGTATACTATCTACATTCATATTGTCTTGTCACCTTGAATCTTATGTGGTTTGGTGTATACTATCTACACTCATATAGTATACATATGAATACTATGTATACTAATCACAGTAATTCTTATGAATTATATCATATTGTCTTGGTGTATATTATCTACATTCATATTGTCTTGTCACCTTGGGTCTTATGTGGTTTGGTGCATACTATCTACATTCATATTGTCTTGTCACCTTGAATCTTATGTGGTTTGGTGTATACTATCTACACTCATATTGTCTTGTCACCTTGGGTCTTATGTGGTTTGGTGTATACTATCTACATTCATATTGTCTTGTCTCCTTGTAATCTTATGTGGTTTGGTGTATACTATCTACACTCATATTGTCTTGTCTCCTTGTAATCTTATGTGGTTTGGTGTATACTATTTACATTCATATTGTCTTGTAACCTTGGGTCTTATGTGATTTGGTGTATACTATCTACATTCATATTGTCTTGTCACCTTGGGTCTTATGTGATTTGGTGTATACTATCTACATTCATATTGTCTTGTCACCTTGGGTCTTATGTGATTTGGTGTATACTATCTACATTCATATTGTCTTGTCACCTTGGGTCTTATGTGATTTGGTGTATATTATCTACATTCATATTGTCTTGTCACCTTGGGTCTTATGTGGTTTGGTGCATACTATCTACATTCATATTGTCTTGTCACCTTGAATCTTATGTGGTTTGGTGTATACTATCTACATTCATATTGTCTTGTCTCTTTGGGTCTTATGTGGTTTGGTGTATACTATCTACATTCATATTGTCTTGTCTCCTTGGGTCTTATGTGGTTTGGTGTATACTATCTACACTCATATTGTCTTGTCACCTTGGGTCTTATGTGGTTTTGGTGTATACTATCTACATTCATATTGTCTTGTCACCTTGGGTCTTATGTGGTTTGGTGTATACTATT